ACTATACCACTACCATGCCTCTTCTGGGGGCCACTATACCACTACCAAGTCACCACTGCTTTTCCCAAGAGGTACCACTGAGATAGGAATTGTTACTTTCATGATCTCTCGTTTTGACCACCACTAATCAAATCACTAGAATTGTCCCAAACAGTGCTAAAAAGGAATGTCTTTTGCTTCTTTAGCTCATTCTGCTATATCACTTATTCAAAGAAAATAAAATAAAGGACAAAGTGACTTTATAGCTAAATTCATTCCAAATTGAATATTTTTAAAGAAATACTTTTCAATTTGTCAAAAGCATATCAACAGTCATAAAAATTTTTTTACATTCTCTGGCATCATGCTCTCACCCTTGGGAATTTATTCCAAGAATATAATTTGAAAGAGGTTAAATCTCATATGCACAGATATTTTGCAGCATTATTTATATTGGAAACAACCCAAATGTCTAATAACGGGGAACAATTTTGTAAATCTTGATACATCAACCTAACAAAATTATAAGCTGCCACTTAAGATCGTAAATTTTGAGTTTGTAGTACAGGGAGAAAACTCTGAAAATTTTAAAGTAAAGGAGCAAACTACAAAATTCTACCTATTCTGTAAAAATTATACAGGCATATGAAGTACTTAAAGGAAACAATAAAGATTTAGAATGATGGGTTGATGTATTTAGAATTTGAAATTATATGTGACACTTCATGATTTTATTTTCTGAATTCTTGTTAAAATGTGTGCATTCAGTGACTGCTCAAAATATCTTCATTCATTCACATTTTAAATGTTTTGATTTTATCTTAGTAATTTTTTTACTGCCAATTCCTGTCTCTGCCATAAATTATGGCCTTGGTTGGACAGTCAATATATAGTGCATATTTCATAAATGTTTACTTCCTATTGCATTTAGATTATTCTTTTCCTAGAGTGTGCGTCTCAAATTTTAATGGGCATTCATCTCACCTGGGGATCTCATTAAAATGCTTATTCTGATTCACTGGGTCTGGGGTACCTAAAATCTATGTTTCTCATAAGCCCCCTGGTGGTGCTGGTGCTGGTGCTGCCCATCCCAGAGCTCTCCTCTGTGTGTGGAAATGATGCTGCTGACCACATGCCAGTCAGTAGTCGTATCTTGGAAGGCAATGTTAGGTATTCTCTCAGCTACCTCCACAGTAACATTTCTAGTAGTTTGGGGGCAGAGGAGGGGATGGCTAAAGATGAACGTCATCTGTGCTTACGGAAGAAAGATGCTATCTTATCAAGCCTGATGATTAATCTTCTTAAGCCTCTCAACTAACTTGAATTTTGTCAGTCGACAGAAATGACCAGGTGGCATTAAATAAATGATTCTCTGCATGCTGTAAAAAAGTAAGAAGGGCCTTCTGTAGTAATCATGCTAGCAATGTCCTTTGATACAATCTGGAACCCAATTAAAAAGTTGACAATCCCATCTGTGGTAAGAAATGCTTTGCTTTGGGTGTCCATACTGGAAGAAGAATCTTGGCCTTGGCAATGAATCCTTAAGGCATGGTAGTCTAAAGCAAAGTGGCGAGCCATCTTTTTAGAGAATGGAGGGAAGTGGAACATTTTCTATGACTGTGGGAAAACCGGTTTCCCGTTGCAGAGGAACAAGATGCAATGCATAGGACCAAGGTGGTGGGGAATTTCAGCTGTCCTTTGAACCTGAGTCATACCGACGATGGCCAAAACTTACTCTTGTTTTGAGAAGATGATAACAAGTTTCCACCTTGATTCTCCACAGTAACTGAAGCTGGTTTTGGTGCTGATATTGGAATGGAGAAATTTTTCAACATCAAGTGCCGAGCATCTGGCTTGGTGCCCAACGCGGTGGTGCTGGTGGCAACGGTGCGCGCTCTGAAGATGCACGGAGGCGGGCCAAGCGTAAGTCTCCTACTTCCTTCCCAGCCAAACACGTTTTAAAATTAAGATGAAGCAGAATTTCACATCTGAAACCTTCAAACCCACTCCATAGCTGCGGTATTTTTATATGTCTCCTTTTTTATAAGTCTCCATTATAAGGCACTTACCATTTGGTAAATTCCAGTAAATGGTGACACTCACAAAGTCATTTCTAAGCAGTATTTTGGGAAGGAGCATAATGTGAGCACTTTTGAGTCCTAAGATTTATACCTGAACCTCAGGTCAACATTTTATAACCCTATGGTGATGGGAGGATGGAAGCTCTTGTTCCTGAGCAGAGAACATAAGGATTAGAGTGATTGCTTTTGTGGGTGAGGTTTTTTAGTGTTCGTACAGATAGTTTTTTGGTTCACTGATGCAATGTCTCATCAGATTTCATCTAGAACTATTTTCCTTCTGTTTCTGCTTATTCTGATTTCACTTTATAGCTCTGTTACAGCTCTGAATTATTTCTAAAAGAGCTTTGCTTGGAAAAGATGCCCTATTTTAACATTTTTTACAGACTTTTGGTATTAACCTGTCATATATGTAATTCACATACATCTGAAAGAAAATTTTTTCTTTTTTCATTTTGAGGTTTCTTTCAAAGGGAGAATAAGAAATGTTATACTGAGTAACATACTTTATTTTTGAAATAAAATTAAGTTGGAGTGTCATTATCATTTATAACATTGTTATACTAGACAAACTACCAAATCTGATTGCTTAATTGGTAATACTGTGTATACAGAAGTCACATAATCAATGATTATTACATAGCAAATAACATTTTTGCCATCATGAAATACATCTCTGATGGGCATTGTATAATCATGTTAGCAATTCTTTGTCCTAGGAGAAGCTGACATTATTTTATCCCATTTTATAGCAAAGGGATTTGAGGTTCAGACCAGTTTGGGGAATGTGAGCAGTGTGACCTGGCTTGCCGAGAGCCAGATCTGAAGTCTGAGGTTTAGATCCAAATTCCTTTCTCTGTCCACCAGGCAGAGCTGAGCATTAATGAAGGGTAAACATTTTCTGAATCCCAAATCCACTAGTAAAACCAAACACTTCAGAAGTTCATTGTAGCCGAAAGCTTCATCTTCAGGTACAAGATTGACACATGTATTATTAAGCAGTAGATCCTAAAGAATTCTGATTTTGTTCAGAACACCCTTTGTTGCTACAATGACTCCTTAACTTTAGATTTTGAATCTGTATTCCAATTTCCATTTCTCCCTCACTGTTTTGCACCCTGAACGTTATAAAATCCAAAGACTTTGATACTGGAAAGGGCTTAGAGATTGTCTGAGTCTGGCTCAGTCCTTGTAAAGATGAAATAACTAAGCTAACAGAAGGATTCAGTGATTTGCTTCATATCATCCATCGTCTTAAGGGACTAACCAGACTCTTGAGTTCTAGTCGAGTGTTTTTCCATAGTCTCCTTTCTGTCCCATAAAAATTCTCTACGTCATTTATAATCCTATTTTAGTTCCTCTTAATGTGTGTGCTTGTTTTACACTGATTGCTTTTCCCTCTTGACCTTACTCTTGTATGTCTTCCACTTCACATCATGGTTCCAGCCCAGTGATTGTTAACAGGGCTCACAATTGGTAGGCACAGATCTGGGTGGAGGATGATAGAAGGAAAGGATCGGGAAGCCTGGGAAAGCTTAGTATCCCTCTCCTGAGCTCCAGAAGAGCCTTCCACATTGCATTGGTTTATGACTGTCTCTGGGTGTCTCCCTTCTCTACTCTGAACTCCTTGAGATCAGGGACTATATCTTATTAATGTGTGTATCCCTAATGCCTGGCAGAATCTTTATCCAGGAAGTGTTTTCAACAACTAAATAATAAATGAACTTTCATCTTCTTAATCCTATACTCTGTATTATCCATCTCAGTGTCTTTCCTTCTTACTTGAAACAACTGTGTGGTAATGTTTTTGATCCATTATAATTTCTACTTCCTTTAGGTATCATTACACAAATAACCATGGCAGCCTCTTATGTTTATTCAGCTTGTTTTTTTCCATAATCTGTGCAGTGGAAAATCCTGTCACCCTTGAACTTGCCCATTTTAGCCCCAATAATTCTAAATTCATATCCTGTCTTCCAAAGTGCTGACCATTCATGCTGCAACGTAAGAACTAATAATTGTTATACTTATGGATCTCGACATCCTTTACCATTAATTCTTTAAAATACATTGTATTAAGAACCAATATGCTGTGTATTTATGCAAAAAGAGATTTATTATAAGGAATTGGCTTACACATCTCTGGAGGCTAACAAGTCCAAAATCTACAGAGTGGGTCAGCAGGCTGGAGATTTAGGAGGGCTCACATTCCAGTTCCAGTCCCACTCTGAAGGCAGTCCACTGGAGAATTTTTCTTGCACAGAATCTTTCTGTTCTATTAGGGCCTTCAACTAATGGATACAGACCACCCACATGGTGTGCGTGGAGTGGCAGGCAGGGCACGGATCTGTTTTACTCAGAGTCCACGAGTTTAAATGTTCTTCTCACCCCAAAGACACCCCATAGAAACACTCAGAAAAATGTTTGACCAACTATCTGCTACCCTGTGGCACAAACTGATACCTAAAATTAACCATCGCACCCATTGCTACTGATTTTCTTGCATGATGCAATCACCAGATCTTCCTTTCTTTCCTTTTCTTTTTTTTATATTAATAACCAATTGGTCTAGTACTATTTATTTAAATAGTCCCTCCTTCTGTCTTATCTTTAGGCCTACTTTGTGATACATGTGTAGGTCTTTTTCTGGAATCTCTCTTCGGTTCTGCTGGCCTATTTACATATAATTGTGTCTGTGCTGCCCTGATACCTTTATGGCAAACTCCACACCAGGGTGTTCTGTTTCTTCATGTGTGCCCAGCCTGGTATTGGTCCTTTTGACTTCCATCTGTATTTTAGAATTAGCTCATAAAGTTCCATAAAGAATCTTTCCAGGATTTTTATTGGAAGGGCATCATATCAATAGATCAATTTAGGGAAATTTGACAGATTGCCATCTAAGATGATGGGAATGCCTCTTCACTGATTTGGGTCTTTTTAAGTGTATTTTAATAACGATTTACAGTTTATTCCACAAACGGCTTCTTCATCTCCTTATGGATTTGTTACTGTGTGCTTTACATTTTTGTATAGTTTTAACAGGTTACTTCTGGATTCTTATATATTACTTTTATATCCACTGACTATTTAAAATTAAGGTGTAATTGACACAAAACTTTATATTAGTTTTAAGTGTAAAATAGAATGATTGGACATTTGTATACATTACAAAAGGATCACAAATCTAGTTAGCATCTGTCGCCATGCATAGTTAAACATTTTTCTCGCAATGAGGGCTTTTAAGATCTACTCTCGGGGCGCCTGAGTGGCTCATTGGTTAAGCATCTGCCTTCGGCTCAGGTCATGATCTCGGAGTCCTGGGATCAAGCCCCGCATCATCAGGCTCCCTGCTCAGCAGGGAGTCTGCTTCTCCCTCCCTCTGCCCCTCTCCCTGCTTGTGCACATGCATGCTCTCTCTCTCTCTCTATCTCAAATAAATAAATAAAATCTTTAAAAAAAATCTACTCTCAGCAACTTTCAAGTATGCAATACAGTATTATTAACTATAGTCACAGGCTATACATTACATCCCTGTGACTTTAGAATTGTCTTAGTAATTGTACTAATTTATCTGTAGACACTTGAGAGTTCCATGTGGGCAGTCATGTCTGAAAATAATGACAGTCTGTTTCTTCCTTTCTAATCTTTATACTTTTTTCTTGTCGCTAACCAGGTCTTTCTAGTTGGCAGTGCAGTATTAGGTAGGGGTGCTAATAGTAGACCTCCTTTTATTATCCTGATCTGGAAGAGAATATGTTTAATACTTCTTCACTACATCTGATTTTTCTATAGGTTTGTAGTATATATTTTTATCAAATTAAGGAAACTGGCTTCTATTCTTATTTTGCCAACATTTTATTCTAAATAAATGTTGAGTAACTTTCTTGGTCTTTTAAGATGATATGTTTAATGGATTAAACTATTAAAATTACAAATTATATTACTTACTCAACTTTAATACTTCATCTTTAAACTGCCCTTGCCACCTCCTACATTGTTGTGAGAAATAGGCCCTGAAAAGGGGAAAGTAATGGCAATTACTTTAACATTATTTAGAATTTATTGAGAATGATGGTACACCTTATATAAGTCAGGTTTCACTCAAATTATAAGTTCCATTTTATGCTAGGATAATGGGCACCAGTAAGAAAATTCTCAATGTTGGCTCAAGTTAGAATCACCTGTACTGATCCTGGGTCTCACTCCCAGAAATCCTGGATAAATTGGTCTGGACATCAGTGTTGTTTTTTTTTTTTTTTTTTAAGATTTTATTTATTTATTTGACAGAGAGAGACACAGCGATAGAGGGAACACAAGCAGGGGGAGCGGGAGAGGGAGAAGCAGGCTTCCCGCAGAGCAGGGAGCCCGATGCGGGACTCGATCCCAGGACCCTGGGACCATGACCTGAGCCGAAGGCAGACGCCCAACGACTGAGCCACCCGGGTGCCCACATCAGTGTTTTTTAAAAGCTTCCAATAAGACTTAGGTTCAGCTGGGGCTGCCAGTTGTTGGTTTAAAAGTACATTTTGTGCTTTTTAAATGCACCTTCTCAAAAAGTGACCATGTTTTGTTTTTCCTTCAGATCTTTATCAGAGTAAGCTTTTTTTTTTTTTAACAACAACAACAACAAAAGACAGGATAAAGTGGTCAAGATTCCCGGTAACAATAAATAAATCTTCCTCCCTTCAGTGTTTAGTACGATGCCAATTAACCATTTATTTTTTTAAAGATAAGAAAACCAAGCCCCCAGATTAGCAAACACATTGGCAAGTTGCTGGTTTCCAAGCGAGTTACCCTTGTCAAATCCACTCAAATCTTTTCAATATATTTGGGCTTTTCAACACTTCCAGCCTGCTGGGCACAGTTAAGTAAAAGGCATTTGCTCTAAGAGCTCCCTGCTACCATTCTGTACCCTTGTGGACGTATTTGGCTTCCATGGAAGTGGGTACAGGAGATGAAGCGGGGGTTGTGCATCTGCTGGGTGGTGGCATGCACAGGATTGGAGGTGGGTGCAGGTGTGCGGGCAAGAGGTAGGGCGGGAGAAAGGAAGTCCTTCAGCCCCTACAGAAACAAACACTACAATCCAGTAGGGCTCATTCGGATGCATTTTCCATGAAGCTGCTAGAAATTCAACCCACCTGGCTACTCGTAAATGCAACAAGTATCAGAATAAGCATTCTAATGGGTTTGTTCTTCATTTTTGCCTTTTCTTGTCTCAGGTAACTGCTGGTGTCCCGCTAAAGAAAGAATATACAGAGGAGGTAAGAGCAGGTGTCTTGAAGGCTTATGTGCAGAACCATTTAAATCCAGTTAACCATTGGCTAGCAATTGAATCTCAATCAGTCAATGAGTCCTCCACCAGTGGCCTCTTGGAAAACTGCTTTTCTAATGATCCCGGAGGAAATGGGTGGGGGCGAGAGATAAAGTCCATTCAGTTAACTCTTCATTCTTAAGAAATGATGGTTGTAGGATTCACATATGTACTGTTTCCTACCCTCTGAGCAGCCATCAGAGCAGGAACCCAGTCTCCAGCACAGAAACAAATAGGAAGCTTTCACCCATGTATTCTTCTGCTATGGAAAAAACTGACTTTTGGAGCATATACAATTGGCTTTAATCACTCACCTGAGTTGCTTGACTCTTGGGTAAATAGACTTTGATTTACTGGCAACAGTACCTCCTCGCTCCTACAGGTGGCACCAGGGATTTGAGCCGGGAATGGCTGGGCCACACTCCTCACCCTCCCCGGGGCCTTGTACCAACCTACAAGAGAACGAGCACATTGCTTATGCCCTGGCCGCCAGTCAGCAGCAGAAATAGCTGCCTGGCTCAAGACCTTGATACACCATTGGGTCCAGACTGATTTCAGAAATTATTTTGAAAATGAGCCTCCTCCTTCTGTAAGCCACCTTTTCTTGGAGGAAAAAGTGTTTTATGGGCTTGTTTAATAGCTTCTAGGACAGTAAAGGGAGCAAGATGGAAGCAAAACCCGCCAGAGTGGACTGGCCAGTTTAGTTTGGCAGCATTGGTCGGAGGCATACATGGGGGTCTGGTTTTCTTCTAGAACATCCAGCTGGTGGCAGACGGCTGCTGTAACCTTCAGAAGCAGATTCAGATTGCTCAGCTCTTTGGGGTTCCCGTTATTGTGGCTCTGAATGTCTTCAAGTAAGTGAAGCCCCCCACTTAAAATGTGTTCCTCTTGCTGGGCCACCCTGTGAACTCTATTTGTGTCTTGAGGGTGTTTGGTCTTTCTCGGCTTCATCTAAAACTATATAGAAATACTCTGCTCCTTCTGTTTGTTTGGTTGGTTTGGGTTGGGTTGGTTTCATTTTAACAGAAGTTTCTCAACTGTTTATGGGAAATGAAATCTATATAGTGAGTTAACATTTCCTTGGCTTTTATTTTATTTTTTTTTTAAATTCCACCCAGCATTTCTGTCTGAAAGACTGTGGATGATCAAAGGGTTATGTTATGGGATTTTCTCAATAAAACCCTTAACAACTTGAAATATTTGAGTCCTGTTGGAGAGGGGTTTTTTTCCTGCCAATGCTTTTCTTTAAGTCTGATTTATCTAAACACAACGTAACCACTTTTGATGTTGAGAATATATTCAGTGTTAGGGAGCAAAGTTCTGTATAAACGGTTAGTCTTTCTTTTAAAAACATCACTAAATGAATACAGATGCAAAACCACAAACGTTTTCATCACTAGGACCGACACCCGCGCTGAGATTGACTTAGTTTGTGAGCTTGCGAAGCGGGCTGGCGCCTTTGATGCGGTCCCCTGCTATCACTGGTCCGTTGGTGGGAAAGGGTCGGTGCAGCTGGCTCGGGCTGTGAGAGACGCTGCCAATAAGGGAAGCCGTTTCCGGTTCCTGTATGATGTTCAGGTAAGCTCCACCTACCCTGTGCATTGGGCCAGTGGGGGGGGGGGGGGGGGGGCACGACTTGTCCTGTTTATTGGCCGCAACAACCCTCCAGATATGGAAAGTGCAGGGGAAAGAGGTTGAACCACCTGACCAAGGCCCATGGCCATAGGCAGAAGCTATCCTTGCCCCAGGGCCTGTGCTCCCAAAGCTACCCTCTACTTCCCAGGAGCAGGCCTGAGCGAGGAGGGGCTTTTGGGAACAGGGTTCGACAGCTGACACATTCAGGACTTGCTCTTTTGAGCAACTTATTTTTTTTTCCTTTTTTTTTTTAAAGATTTTATTTATTTGACAGAGAGACACAGCAAGAGAGGGAACACAAGCAGGTGGGGTGGGAGAGGGAGAAGCAGGCTTCCCGCGGAGCAGGGAGCCCGATGCGGGGCTCGATCCCAGGACCCTGGGATCATGACCTGAGCCGAAGGCAGATCCTTAACGACTGAGCCACCCAGGTGCCCCATCTTTTGAGCAACTTCTTAAGGCTTGTGAAATCATGAGCAGTATCTTCCTCGTCTGTTTCTGCCATGGTTCTCGTCCTTCATTGTGGTTTTCTGGAGCTATATGTATGATATTTGTGAAATATGTTTAGTTGTATAATCCACATAACTTGACACTTACCATCTCTACCATGTTGGGGTGTACAGTTCAAAAGTGTTAAGTACATTCACATTGTGGTGCAACCACCACCTATCCCCAGAGCTCTTTTTGTCTGGCAAAACCTAAACTCTACACCCATTAAACCCCAGCACCCCATTCCCACCGCCACCCCCACCCTTGGTAGCCACCCTTCCCCTTTCTGTATCTATGAATCTGACTGGTCTGTGTAGCTCATATAAGTGAAACCATCCAGTTCTGGTCTTTTTTGTGATGGGCTTATTCTCCATCTCAGTCCTTTCAGGCTGCTGGGAGGAATAGCACGTACTGGGTCACTAATGAACAGCAGAAGTGGAGGCTGGGGCGTCCAAGATCAAGGTTTGGGCAGGCGTCTGGTGGGGCCGGCTTCCTCTGTCATGCACGGCTGCGTACTCATTGCATCCTCAGGTGGAAGAGAACTGGGGTATCACTAGGGTCTGTTTTAGGAGGACACTAATCCCATTCCTGAGGCTTCCCATCTCCTGACCTAATCACCCTGAAAGCCCCACCTCCTCCTAATTCCATCAACCTGGTTGCCCCCAAAGTCCCCATGTCCCCTAACACTGATCACATTGACAATTAGTCTTTAACATATGAATGGCAGGCGAGGGTACGAACACTCCGTCTGTATCATTTACTTAGAGTAATGTCAGGGTTCATCCATGTTCTTGCATATGTCAGAATTTTCTTCCTTCCATTGTATGTATATGTCACATTTTGTTGATTCATTCATCTGTCAGTGACCATTTTGGCTAATAAACAATGCTGGTATGAACATATGTATAAATATATCTCTTTAAGACTCTGCTTTCAATTCTTTGGGGTATACACCCAGAAGTAGAGTTGCTGGATTGTCTAATGCATTTCTAAACAGCTGGATAATGAGCCTTCAGTCAGAAAATCTGAACTTCCCAGGACCTCACTCAGTTAATCTTGGCACCCAGCTGCACATCTCTATTTTGAATCCTGCGGCTTCAGCCCTGGCTCCTGGATTTGTCCCCATTGATAGTGCATGGTTGTCAGGGTGCTCAGCCTTTAAGCTGGTTGATTCTTCTCCCATTCCTTCATCCCTCACACATTCTGTGGGTCTCTCAAATGTCACAGACAGTAACATCGCTCCTCTTTCCAGATCAGATGCATAAACCAACAGTATACGTGGAGAGAGGGCATAGCAGAGTCACGTCATCCAAGAGCTTGGCTTTAATCTTATTGCTAAGCCTCATGCTTACCGAGGGCTTTCTGTGTGCCAGGCATGCAGTCACCTCGTGCCTGTTAACTGCTTTAGTCTCGGCATCCCTTTTGGGTAGGAACTGGTGATATTCGCCCCATTTTATACACATGGAAACTAAAGTACAAGGACATTACATAGCTTCCTAGTGTCCCATATCCTGAAAGAAGCAGAGCTGGGAGAGTATCTAGAAGGATGGAGGTGCTCTTCCTGCCCTGTTCTTCAGAATTCAGTACTGTGTTTGAAAGTGGGGATGAGAGTGGGGTACTACTTAAAGGGGGACCCACCTGCAGAGGAAGGACGGCGGTGACAGGCACAGGACAGACATTGTGGGCACTCCGTAAATGTATGTGAACGGATGAATTTCAGTACCGAATTGGGACGGTTAGGCCACAAAAGTTTCGTCGTGTTGAAAGGCCATATCATGAACAAGAGAAGAGCTTGTTCTGGGATACAGAGGGGGTGGAGATCGGTAAACGGAGGAGACCCGGGTTCGACATAAAGAAAAATGGTCTAATTAGAAGAGGTGAGTTCTCTGACCCTGGAGATCTGAAACAGGAGGTAGATGCGGCCCTGTGTTCCTTCCCATACCTTCCTGCCCGGGCGAGCCTGTCCGGTTGTCTGCAGCGCCTGTCCCCACCCTGGGCCCTCTCACACAGACCACTGTCGGGGCCTCCCTCCCCCTGGCCTGCTCCAGGAGCCTCAGACCACTGCCGTCTGATCTGGAACCACCTCACTCTGAGTGGCAAAGGCAGGTTCTGAATGAATGATTTCACGAAGTAGGGCTGTTTTCAAGGAAACCTTCCCAAGTGAAAAGAAGGTGGGTAAAGAGAAGAAATGTTTCTGAGTTATGCCGTCTCACACATGCACTACCCTAAAGATGAACCCCTTTCCTTTCCGATATTTTAATTTTCTTTCTGAATTCCCATTCTTCATGGAGATAATGCTGTTAAAATATCTGCTTCCCTATAAATGGGGCGGGGGGGAGATTTATAGTACTGTGGACTAAAGTCCTGCGTTTGCTAGGATTCTTGCCCCCTTTGCCAGCATACTCTTCTCCCTTTTCTTATAACACAGAAATTAGATGTGGATTGCATAATTATTTATTAGAGAACCAACAACATCTCAGCGTATGGCCGCACAACGACAAGAGCGATTGCTGCTTCTGGCTCACTGCGCGCTGCCTCCCTCATCGCTGTGTTCCTCACATTGGCAGGATGATTTTAGATAATAGAAGACCGTTTATAATCTTGTAGAAATCTGTATCCCTTGGTGCAGTCTGTAACATAGCTCAAACGTTTCTTCCCTCCTCGTTTCTTGTATATCATGTTGGTGAACCTTTACAGGCTAATTCAGGGTTTTCCTGAAACTCTTGATTCCCCCGCAACTAACCCTTTAGCGCTTGGCAAGTTGATATGTGTGGGATTGCCCTACAGGAAAAAAGAAGTAATAAAGTACTTTGGATAAATCACCCTGCTGCCTTTGCTTCTGAGCACAAACTGAGCTCCTTTGTGCCTTTTGCTATCTCCCCAGACTGTGTTCCACCAAGAATGCATTCCGTGCAGGGCTGATGGCGTCCCATCTCCGCGTTACAGAAGAAAGTCACCTGAGACCATTTAGAGGCATTTGACATAGTATAGGAAGGCAGGACATGATTGCTTTTGTATGGGGAGGAGGAATCATCTCAAAACCCCAGTGGAAGGAGGAACAGCTAGAGAGCAAGAAACACTTGACCTCAGAGACCCTGTGGGGCCGGACAGCTCCTAGAGTGAGAGGCTTGATGATGGTGAGCCCTGAGTTAAAGCAGGAAACAGGCTGCACTTCTGATTTGGGGGTCTGTGCTGAACTTGATAGAAAATTGAGTTAAGCAGCCACTGTTCTTCCGAGAACAATTCTGCACCTCTTTTATCAGAGTAGCTTCTTTTTTTAAAAGATGTTCTTTTTAGGGGCACCTGGGTGGCTCAGTCAGTTAAGCGTCTGCCTTCAGCTCAGGTCATGATCTTGGGGTCCTGGGATTGAGTCCTGCATGGGGCTCCCTGCTCAGTGGGGAGTCTGCTTCTCCCTCTCTCTCTACACCTCCCCCCACTCCCCATCCCCCCACCCCCACTCATGTTCTCTGTTGCTCTCTCTCTCTCAAATAAGTAAAATATTTTTTAAAATAAAAGATTTTATTTTTAAATTATCTCCACACCCATCGTGGGGCTCTAACTCACAACCCCGAGATCAAGAGTCACACGCTCCACAGATGGAGCCAGCCAGGTGCCCCCAGAGTAGCCTCTAATTCAAGAGTAGACAACTTCTTTTTTTAAGTAGGCAACTTTTGATTATGGAACTGGAGGCAGCTGGTGATTAATTCTGAATAATAACTTTTTAAAACAGGGAATAAGAGGGGCCCCTGGCTGGCTCAGTTGGTGGAGTGTGCAACTCTTGATCTCAAGGGTCATGAGTTTGAGCCCCACGTTGGGTGTAGAGATTACTTAAAAAAAAAATCTTTTAAAAAAATGTCTTAATAAAAAATAGAACAGGAAATAAGATACAGTGGCCTAATTGCTCAAAGGAAGTTCATCCGGTGAGAATAAATATGTTTAAACTTAAGTTCATGGTTTCCTTACAGCCCTTTGGGATGATCACAGTCCCCTAGAAGTCATCTTCTCTGTAACTTTTCCTTTTGTAGCAGGACTTTTGAGAGATCTTTCCAGTTGACCAGTATCTCCATTCCTGCAAGGACATAGCAAAATAGTTTAAGAAAGAAAAACGAATCTCTTTTTACGGTTTATTAGCTTTCAAATCCCTGTTCCATGCATTACCTCAAGCACATCTCACCCAGTGCCTTAGGGTGTGTGGGCTCTACTCTGCGTTTCAAACGCAGAAGCACAAGCTTGGAGCAGGTGAGGGACTTGCCCCATAACAAATGGGCAATTGAAAACATAAGGATAGTTAAAAGAAGAAAGCTTTGAGGTCATGCAGAATTAAGTTTAAATCTTGACTGGGCCTCCTACGATGGATATAGATTTGAGCAAGTTAACTCATCTCTCTGAGCCTCAGCTTCTTTATCTAGAAAATTGTGTCTGATATCGACATCAGCACCTGTGAGTTGCTGTGAAGA